GGGGGGGATCGCGACAGGGAGGGGCCGCGACGCGGGGGGTCGCGACGGGGGGGGGCCGCCAAAGGAGCTCGCCCCGGCGCGGACGGACTGCCCCGACCGTGCCCGACCAGCCCCCCGCCCCGATCGGCCCTGACCCGCGCCGCCCCGCCCCGGCCCTCCGACCTACCCCGACGTCTCCATATTCTTCGGGGGCGGAAAAGAGGGGGGTGATGACTCGGGGGGGGGGATATCATGGCGTGGGCCATGATATTTCCCCAGATTTCATGGCGCCTCTTCTTGTTTCGTTACGTCCCTGGCCCCCCCCCTGGGCCGCGCACATTTGCCGCAGCATGATTGGCCCCCCCCCCCCCCCCCCCCGCCCCCCCTCACTCTTGGACACCCCCCTCTTGGCCGCTCCCGAATTCTCGGAAAGTGGAGCGTATGATTACCAGTGGCGGGCTGTTCTTCAATCCCTGGACTTTTGCAGGGTCGGGGGCGACATCGGGGTGTTGCCGATTGGAGACGTTGTAATTGGCATTGCTCCGCAGTCTGCAGGTATAAACGGCTATTTCGGTTGCACCACACAGAGTACAGCGGTGTGCGAGATCAGCACTAGACGGTGGCTCCTTTGTCTGAGGCCGGCTGGTGGAGAAGAGGAGTGGCAAAACCCAATGGAGAAAAAAACAAAAAAACAAACAACAAATGCTTGTCCCCCGCTTTCCCGAGGAAGCAACGACACATGTATACACCAGGATCCCGTATACACCAGGATCCGCTTTCCTGTGCGAGTTTCAGTGCAGGGCCCGAAACAGCGTCGGTGTATAGAGTTCGGTTCCCTGTATTCGTCATTTCATCGCTTGCACGTGTTGGCCCAAGATTTGGCACTGGCTGCCTCAAGCCGCGTCGTCTTCCGGGGTGGCTGGGGTGCGGGGGGTCGTCGTCCTGCGGGTCCGTGCGGGCTGGGTTGGGACGTTCGGTTCGGTTCCCGTTGGTTCGGTCTGGGAGCCGCCCATCTCCAGTTCGGTTCGGGTTCTGGTTCGGTTCGGTTCCCCCGGGTCGGTTCTGACTTCGGTTCGGTCCAGTTCGGTTTTTTATGTTTTGTCTGGTTCGGTCCAGTCCGGTAACGGATCTCGGTTCTCGGTTCTTGGTTCTCGGTTCAGTTTGGTCCCTTCATGCTCAAGTATCCTGCCTCCCCGCCCTTTTCTTCTTTCCCTCTTCTGCCTTGCCTTTTTTCCCTTCCTCTTCCCCTCTCTGGCATCATGCTCTACCCCCCTCCTGCGGTCTAGCTCCTCCCTCCTGCCTCTCTCCCTCCCCGCTCTCAACAATTATTCAATATGAATACTACTCTCCCTCTTCCCCTTTGACGGTTTGAGAGTGCTCGACCCCCCCCGCGTATGGTTTTTTCACACAGGTTTCCCCGGAGTTGGGTTTTCGCTTGCATTTTTGTCAAAATGCTGCTCTCGCTGTGGCGCCGGCCTCATTTTCGGGCCCCGCTCGTTCCGAATCGTGCTCCCGCTGCAGCGCTGGCCTCATTTCCGTGTTTCCGCTCATTCCGAATCGTCCTCCCGTTGCAGCGGTGGCCTCATTTTCGCGCTTCTGCTCGTTTCGACTCGTGCTCCCGCTACAGCGCTGGCGTTATTTCCCGTGCCATGCCACGGCATGCAATGCAATGCTAGGTTGATGCTACGCTTTGCGGTTCTCTTCTACGCCATGCCATGCCGTGCTCTACAATGCATCGCGTACCCTTTCGGGATCATTGCCCTGCTCGACATCCGATTGTGCGAGTAGAGAGGGGATCTGCGCCATGGTAAGGGATGGGAAGGAGGGGTAGGATGTCAGATATGACGCGAGTGTACCTAGTTTGTCCTTACCCCTCCTCCGCCTCCCTCCTCTCAATTACCCCCCTGCCAGTGCCTCTTGCGCTCCGCTCCTTCCGCTCCACTTCCCAGTCCCTCCTTTTTTCTCTGCGTCCCTCCTTGTGCTCTCCCTCTTCCCTCCTCCCTCGAACGTTGCCCAACCACACCACATCACTCCAGACGCGTTGTCACGTCGCCAGGAGCAGAATTCTGGCACTTACTGCTCAGCCACACCGAGATGGAAATACGCATTGCCTGTAATTATTTCATCCATCGTCGGTGGTTCTCACTCTGAAGGTCCATTCCACACCCTTCACAGGTCCAGTGGGTGAGTGTTTACGCGCAGACGACTGCCGAGGTTGCCAACACGAGCAGTGCAATTGACACTACCTACATAGCTTGCCATCCTCGACATCAACCATCCACACCCGTGCCTGCCCGAGGGCCCCTTTATGACCTCCGAGGCCACCTGGGAGCCACGGAGTGCCTTTTGGCAGGCTGTGGCATGAATTTCACGGAGCCAGTTTCCGAGTGGCCACCTCTCACCACATATAGTTATATAAAGTCATAGGTAGTTAGATATAAGTAGATTTGATTATACATCGGAGTTTGAGAGGTGAGATCGCAGTGGAACGGAGACCCCCAACTGGGAAATAGTTCCGTTTCGTTCGTGTCGTGCGTGCGGGCGAGGCGAAGTTGCGTGGGCGCGCGAGAGGAATAAACCCGCCATTGTTAGGGCGAAGTCAAGACAAATGATTCTCCCCAGTCCGTCCGTCCGTCCGGCGGTGGCCTTGCGGTGTCCCGAGGTGTCCCGTGGTGTCCGCCGTTGCTAGGGCGAAGTCAAGACAAATGATTCTCCCCCGTCTGTCCGTCCGTCCTGCGGTGGCCCTGCGGTGTCCCGCGGTGTCCCGTGGTGTCTCGTGGTGTCCCGTGGTGTCCGCCGTTGCTAGGGCGAAGTCAAGACAACTGATTATCCCCCTCCCGCCCGTCCGGCGGTGGCTCGCGGTGTCCCGCGGTGTCCCGTGCTGTTCCGAGGTGTCCCGTGGTGTCCCGTGGTGTCCCAAAAAGAAGGATGGATAGTGACATCGATAGTGAGATCGACAGGTTTCCCGTGGTGTCCCGTGGTGTCCCGTTGAGTGATATCGATAGTGAGATCGATACTGCGATCGATGTGGTGCCGCGAGGTGTGGAGTGGTGTCCCGTGGTGTCCCAAAAAGTGGGATGGATAGTGAAATCGATAGTGAGATCGACAGGTTTCCGGTGGTGTCCCGTGGTGTCCCGTTGAGTGATATCGATAGTGAGATCGATAATGAGATCGATCGTGAGATCGATGTGGTGTCCCGAGGTGTCCCGTGGTGTCCCGTGGTGTCCTATGGTGTCCTATGGTGTCCCAAAAAGTGGGATGGATAGTGAGATCGATAGTGTGACCGATTGTGAAATTGAGAGGTGTCCCGCGGTGTCCCGTGGTGTCCCGTGGTGTCCCGTGGTGTCCCGCGGAGTGATATCGATAGTGAGATCGATAGTGAGATCGACAAGTGTCCCGTGGTGTCCCGTGGTGTCCCGTTGAGTTGGATCAATAGTGAGATCGATTGAGTCAGATGTTGGTTCCCCCCCTCTCCCCCCCCACAACCTCCTTCTCACCCGAAGGGTGGTCGTATAGGGTGTGTATATATATAGATATGTATGTATATGTGTGTATATCTAATTATTATTCTGTCCATCGCTGTACTAGTCCAGAGTTGCGAGTGGGCCCATCTTGGGGCTCTCTTGATGCCGTTTTGAGGCCTTCTTGGGGGCCTGCTGGGCCCTCTTGGGCCTCTCCTGGCCGCCTTTGGGGTCTCTTGGGGCTGTTGTGGGGCGGCCGAGGGTCCCTGTTCGGCTGTCTTGGGGCCCTCTTGGGTTCCTTGACGCCCTTTGGGGGGGGCCCTCTTGGGGCGCTTTGAGGCCCTCTTGGGCCGTCTCTTCCTTGCTGTGCCTTCCTTCCTCTCCTCCGTCTCTCGTTCCTCCTCCCCCCCTCCTCGCCAGCCGGCCCCCGGCGATCGGCCCTCGCGCCGGCGTGCTCCTCGGGCCGACGCCATGGGCCGCCTCGGCCGCGCGCTGCCCCTGGCGGTGGCGGCCCTGGCGTGGCCGGCCGGCTCCGTCGAGACGGCGGTGGTGAACCTCCTGCGCCACGGCGAGAAGTGCAACGACCCCGACAGCGGCCACGGTCTCTCGGAGGCCCGCGGTGCCCTCGGCCCCGGCCCCGGCCGGGGCTCGCTTCGATTCCTCCGATTCGGTTCGATTCGAGTTTGGTGGCTTCCGATGCCGATCAGAGTCGACTTCGGATCCGGATTGGGGCTCCGATTTCTCAATGGAGGCCTACTAGGCTGCCGACTTCCGCCGATTCGACTTGTCCCGACTCGGCTGCCGATCTCCGCCGATCCGGTTCATTTCGATGGCCACGACCCCGACAGCGACAGCGGTCTCTCGGAGGCCTGCGGTGCCCCCCACATGCGGAAGTTTTTCCCCAATCAGAGCTTGCCTCTGTAGGTGTCCTAGTGAATTCATATGGTTGGGTGGGGTTTGTTACCGATTTCCGCGGCCCGCCCGGGTGCCCGGGTGCCCTGGTGCCCGGGTGCCGCGGTGCCAGGGTGCCCAGGTGCCCGGGTGCCCGGGTGCCCGAGTGCCTTATAGCCCTATAGCCTTATAGCTCTATAGACCAAAAGCCCAATAGCCCTACAGCCGTATAACCCTATAGCCCCATAGCCCAATAGCCCTAGAGCCCTATAGCCCAATAGCTCTATAGCCCTACAGCCCTATAACCTTATAGCGTTATAGCCCTGTAGCCCTATGGCCCTAGAGCCCGATAGAGCTATAGCCCTACAGCCCGATAGCTCTATAGCCCTATAGCTCTTGAGCCCAATAGCCCTATAGCCCTATAGCTCCATAGCCCAATAGCCCTGTAGCCCTATAGCCCAATAGTCCAAGAGCCCTATCGTCCTATAACCCTACCTATACGACCACCCTTCGGGTGATAAGGAGGTGAGGGGGGGGGGAGGGACCAACGTCGCACTCGATCGATCTCACTCTCGATGTCACTATCGATCTCACTATCGATCTCACATTCGGTCTCACTATCGATCTCACTATCGATCTCACATTCGGTCTCACTATCGATCTCACTATCGATATCACTATCGATCTCACAATCGATCTCACATTCGGTCTCACTATCGATCTCACTATCGATCTCACTATCGATCTCACCATCGATCTCACATTCGGTCTCACTATCGATCTCATTATCGATACCACAATCGATCTCACAATCGATCTCACAATCGTTCTCACTATCGATATCACTATCGATCTCACATTCGGTATCACTATCGATATCACTATCGATATCACTATCGATCTCACCATCGATCTCACATTCGGTCTCACTATCGATCTCACTATCGATCTCACTATCGATCTCACTATCGATATCACATTCGGTCTCACTTTCGATCTCATTTTCGATATCACAATCGATCTCACAATCGATCTCACTATCGATCTCACAATCGATCTCACAATCAATCTCACTTTTTGTCTCACTATCGATTTCACTATCGATATCACATTCGTTCTCACAATCGATCTCACATTCGGTCTCACTATCGATATCACATTCGGTCTCTCTATCGATGTCATCATCACCATCATCATCATCAGCACCATCGTCATCATCATCATCATCATCAACATCATCATCATCGGGACACCGACGGGTCACCGACGGGACACCGGCGGGACACCGGCGGGACACCGCGCGCCACCGGCCGCCCGGTGGAGAATCATTTGGTCCGGCCGCGCCTCAGCCACAGAGGACACCACCGGGACACCGGCGGGACACCGCGCGCCACCGGCCGCCCGGTGGAGAATCATTTGGTCCGGCCGCGCCTCAGCCAGAGACTTTCCTCTCGCCCGCCCACGCAGCTTCGCCTCGCCCGCACGCACGGCACGCACGAACACGAAACCGAAATCGATTTCCCGGTAGGGGGGCTCTCCGTTCCACTTCGATCTCACCCCCTCACCTCCGATAGCCCTAAATCCCTATAGCCCTAGAGTCCCATAGCCTTATAGCTTTATACATGGCTATGACCATATAGCCCCATAGCCCTATATCCCTAAAGCCCTATAGCCCTATGGTCCTACAGCCCTACGGCCCCATAGCTCTATAGACTCATAGCCCTACGGCCCTATATCCCTATAGCCCTAGTGCCCAAGGGCCCCATAGCGCCCTAGCCCTATAGCCATATAGCCCTACAGCCCTACAGCCCTATAGCCCTATGGCCTTATAGCCCTATAGCCCTATCGACCTATAGCCCTATGGCACTATAGCCCTAGCCCCATAGCCCCATCGCCCTATAGCCCAATTGCCCCATAGCCCTACAGACCTAATCAGATTTTGATCGGGCTTCTCTGCGGTATCATTCTATGTTTTTCGAGGGTTTCTCCAGCCCCCCCCCCCCCTCCCCCAAAGATGCGGGCGGGGAAACTCCAGAATACCCTCCCGCTCGGCAGATGTTGCCTGAGGTCTTCCGAGGGCTCTTCGGCCACGCCAGGAGCCCACTGGACCCTCCTCCCTCCTCGAAAAACCTGCCATTCGGTTCTAGTCGTGCCATTTTTAGAGAATATGGAAAACATGGGGGATCGTGTTAGTTGTGTGTATTTATTTGTGTGTCCCAGGGCCCCTTCAGGCTTACCCTCTTCTCTTCGTGCGGCACGAGGGCGCGAAGCTGGGCTCCAGGCCTCCTAGGTGGGGTCGGAGTAGACTACATACCTATACGACCGCCCTGCGGGCGATAAGGAGGTTGGGGGGGATTGCGATCAAATGCCCACCTTGACTGACTTCCAGCCTGTCACCTTGATCTCATCTCTTTCTTTCTCTCTGTCACTCTCTCTCTCTCTCTCTGTGTCTCTCTCTCTCTCGCCCTCTCTCTCTCTCTCTGGAATTGATGGACTGGGTTGGGTGGAATGGAGTGGATGGGATAAGATGGATTGGATAAGATACGATGGGTTGGATTGGAAGAAATAGTTTGGATAAGATAAGATGTATTGGATTGGCCCGCCGCAGGCGCAGAAACAAATGAATTGATGGATTGGGTTGGGTGGATTGGATTGTGTGTGATAAGATGAGATGGGACAAGATGGGTTGGCTAAGATAAGACGGGTTGGATTGGACAAGATGGATTGGATAAGATAAGCTGGATTGGATAAGAAAGCCCGCCGCAGGCGCCGAAGCAAATGAATTATGAAATTAGCGACATGCGTTAGCGCCGGGACGCCCGGGACACCCGGGACACCCGGGACACCGCCCGGCCCAACTGGGACACCTCCCGGCCACCGGCGGACGGGAAACGGACTCTCGCTCCTAGTGACCCGGGACGCTCGGGACACCGCTCGGCCCAACTGGGACACAACGGGAAACGGACTTTCGCTCCTACTTCGGCCTTGCTACTGGAGGATCACGCGCAGCTTCGCCCCGCCCGCATGCACGACACGAACACGAAACCGAAACCGATTTCCCGGTGGGGGGTCTTTGTTTCACTGCGATCTCACCCCCCAACCTCCGACATACACGTACAGAAACATACATGCGTTGTGTACATATAACAGACACAGATCGATGTTTTTAGATATCTCTAGCAGAAAACTCGTAACATTGTAGATCTTCGCCCGGTGTATTTCTGAGCAGAAGAAAATCGAAAAGGGGGTTGCAACGCTTTGTTGGCAGTGCGGGTCGGAGGATCGCGCCGCATCGTCGATGCATCGCCGATGCAGCTCGATTTGGAGGCGGTTTTTCTCCACGCCGACGTCGCCGATGTATTTCCGATGTCGCCGATGCATCGGCGATGTGTCACCGGTGTATCACCGATGTATCGGCGATGCGGCGGGATCCTCCGACTCCATCCGCTCGGACCCCATCCAGGAGGCCTCTATGGGTGGCCGAGGGCCAGAGGAGAATCTGCTGGACCACCTGGGGAGGCCGGGAGTCGACTGCTGAGTGCCATGCGATTGCAGCGGCCCGCGCGTTTGGGTTTGGCCCCCCCCCCCTCCCCCCCCCCCCCGCACACTCGCGCACCAAAGGCCACCTCTTGGTCTGGGCCAGTCGCGCTCTGCTCTGCTGGAGACGGCTCCCTGGGCGAGGCGACCGTGGAAAGCTTTGGAGCAGAAGGAGGGGGAGGGCCAGGAATTGGTTGGGGAGGAGGAGGAGGAGGAGGAGGAGGAGGAGGAGGAGGAGGAGGCAGGAGGAGGAGGAGGAGGAGGAGGAGGAGGAGGAGGAGGAGAGGAGGAGGAGGAGGAGGAGGAGGAGGAGGAGGAGGAGGAGGATGCGGAGGAGGAGGAGGAGGAGGTGGAGGAGGAGGTGGAGGAGGAGGAGGAGGAGGGGGAGGAGGAGGAGGAGGAGGAGGAGGAGGAAGGAGGAGGAGGAAGGTAGGAGAGGAGGAGGCGGAGGCGGGATGGTCGGAGGCGGAGGCGGAGGCGTGAGGAGGAGGAGGCGGAGGCGGAGGAGGAGGGAGGAGGAGGAGGAGGAGGCGGAGGAGGAGTACGGAGGAGGAGGAGGCGGAGGAGGCGGGGAGGAGGTGGAGGAGGAGGGGGAGGCGGAGGCGGAGGAGGTGGAGGAGGAGAAGGAGGAGGAGGAGGAGGAGGAGGGGAGGAGGCGGAGCGTGAAAGGAGGAGGCAGGAAGGAGGAGGGGGGAGGAGGGGTGGAGGAGTGGAAGAGGAGGAGGCAGGAGGTAGAGGAGGAGGAGGAGGAGGAGGAGGAGGAGGGGGAGGGAGGAGGATGGTGGTGGAGGAGTAGGAGTGAGGCAGGAGGAGGAGGGGAGGAGGAGGAGGAGGAGGGGGAGGGAAAAAAAGAGGAGGAGGAGGAGGAGGGAGGAGGAGGAGGGGGAGGGGGAGGAGGAGGAGGAGGACCAGCACGCATCCCGAAATGGGGGTCCTGCCGTCCTGGCTGTAGAGCGCGCGGCGGCGCGGAGGCGCGGCGGCGCGCCGCCGCCTCCCGTTCCTGCGGTTCCCGGGGAGCCGAATCTGCCCGGGGCAGGGGCGCAGCCGCGCCCTGGGCTTCTCGGGGTGCCTGCCTAGGCAAATCTCAGCCCGTGCATGCAGTGCCGTTTTTTAATGCATGCTCCGCGTGCGGACCATGTATTTAAAAATAAAGGGTCGATGAATGAATACGAGGATGAGTTTATGCATTCATTTGCTCATACATGGATCATGTATTAAACATCCTATGTTTCTGTAATATATATATATATATATGTATAAGTCCGATGTATCAGAAACGGCCCTGTACTTGGATCCACGCTTCTGGGCGTCCGAAAAAGCGGAAACTGGAACGTATACAGTACCAGTGGTGGGTTTGTTTCAACCCCCGGATTTTTTCGAAGGTCGGGGACGGCGTTGGTGTGGTGTATATTTCTCCCCCGTTTTCCAAGGGGCACAACGAAACATGTACACACCAGGATCCCGTATACACCAGGATCCGCGTTCTTGTGCGAATTTCAGCGCAGGGCTGGAAAAAGCGTCGGTGTATAGAGTTCGGTTCCCCCAAACATGCCTGGGACATAAGCTGCGCACATTACGTGTATTCGAGACCGCATAACCTCCACAAGTCTGACAAGCAGTAAGGAAATTCTTGACGCTTCGCGTATCCCCACCAGCCCATCCTACACCAGGCGCTCGAACGAAGAGCGCCGATGATCGGCAGCTGTTCTCCTCCCCCTCTTCCTCCTCCTCCGCCTTCTCCTCCTCCTCTTCTCCTCCTCCTCCTCCCTCACCTCCTGCTCCTCCTCCTCCTCCTCCTCTTCCTCCTCATCTTCCTCTTCCCTGGTGGCGTCTTGGAAGTATCTTCGAACGTTTTGGTGGGCTCTTGGGCCTTGCGGGCGGGCGGGCGGCGCTCCGCCCGCCCGCGCGCAGGGCCCAAGAGGGGGTCCAAGACGTCTCTCGGAGCCATCTTGGAGGAGATCGATCAACGAAGGGGGGTTCCTAAAGTTCAGCCCCCCCCTCAGGAGCCACGATCCTCGTGAGGGGTGTCGAATTTTAGCCCTCCCAGGGGTCGATCTTGGACGCTCTGACCGATCGCGGCCCCCCCTGTCCAGGTCAGTGGGGAGGGGGTAGGGGGAGGGGTAAACCCCTCCCCGAAGGGGAAGAAGGAGGGGTGGAAGAGGAAACTCGTTAATCCACCGACGCCCTAAAGGGCTGGTGGGACTCTCGCTTGTCTCGAAATCGGCCACCACCAGCGTGTTGCCATGGCTGTCAGCAGCGAGGGTTTTTAAGAGGGGAATTGCCAGTGCACTTGTCGTTGAGCCTGGCTTGATTCCTCGCCTCTGAAAGCGCCCTCGTCATGCACAGCTTGCAAACCCATCTCCCCAGGCTCCAAGTCCAACCATGCACCAAACGACCCCCTGACACCACTGGGGGGCGTGGAGGAGGGGGCATAAGATTGCAGCCAGGGGCGGACGCAGCCCCGACAGGGGGATTCTTCGACATGTTAGGTTCGGCCAATGCTTTGCCCCCAGGCTTGGAAGCAGCGGGAGACCACTTTGGCAAGACCTTACAAGCATAGGGTAGAAATCGCTGCAACAACTTGAATCGCTATTCTGTCTGTTGACTGTCGGTAGGGGAGGGTTGCAACAGTTCGTTGGCCGCCCACTTCGCCCTCCGATCGGCCTCGGCGTTTCCCGAAGCATGCCGCCATTCTTCTGTGCGGGGCTCTAATTCGGAGAGCTTTCGATGCGACTTGACTTTAATCAGGTCGATGTCCCGACTCCAGCCGGCACAACCTCAATGAGCAACTGAAGGCCAGAATGAAAACCTTTAGTGGACAGACTTGGAGCATGCAGCTTGCATGTGCCAGTGTAGTCGGGATTTGACCGCGGCGTATGCTGCTAAGAAGTCTGCCGCGGGTGAGGTCTGAGGCAAAGCTCTACCAACAGGACCGGCTAACGCAGCTATGGCTTAACCCGTGGCAGCGTCAATGACTACAACCGCCCATCCCGCTCGGTGATAACACTTCGGACCTACTTTAAATCACGATCCGTCTAGGTACAAATGGTCCTGCAGGGCTTGGGCTAGAGTGGTGTTCGGGTCCAAGGCCCACGAGGTCGCATTCTCGAGACCAAGCACTGCTGTGGCATCGACGTCAAACTTAACCTTGACGTCCAGACCCGCCTGAAGATGAGTCCAGTCCGCATTCTTGAGAGCATCGATATCTTCAAAGCTGAGATGCTCAGCACGCTCGGCCGCCGAAAGGACGCATTCGAACAGTCTGTGATACATGCCGTCATGCTCGTCCGCGCACGGGCATTTACAGTCCACTCATAACCCGCCTCTCGAAGACCAAACCTGGTCCATATATCCCGGGAGAGGAATGCGAGGAGGATTGAACGCTCCCGGGGGGTACGAGAAGGGGAGTTGAGGACGCTGAGGGCAGCAGAAACGCAAACCTGATCCTCCACCCACCCCAGTCGTTCGCTCGCTTGCTCCACCAGCCTGTCCCGCCATGATTTCTGCAGCGCGGCGGAGAGGATGGCGGGCAAGACCGAGTTGAGGGGGAAGAGTGAGCCATCCCTGTCCTAAAACTCGAACGCACTGTCGGCCTTCCAACCAAGCCTGCTGAGAGAGAGAAGGCACGCTCCGAAGGGGCCCCTGGAGTCCAACCACCTCTTGTGGGGAGCAGCCCAAATGGGGGCAACTCAACCCCTAAGTTGGGGCAGGATGATTCCTCCGTCGCCTGCAGTGGCAGCTCTCCACACGATCTTGGCCCAGGTTGAACACGGACCAACTCCTACCCTCCAATTGGGATCGTTGAGGAGGAGGAGGAGGAGGAGGAGGAGGAGGAGGAGGAGGAGGAAGTAGGAGAGGCCGAGGAGGAGGAGGAGGATGGGCGAGGAGCAGGAAGAGGAGGAGGAGGAGGGGAGGAGGAGGAGAGGAGGAGGAGGTGGAGGTGAGGAGGTAGGGGGAGGTGGAGGATGAGTAGGAGGAGGAGAGGAGGGGAGGAGGAGAGGAGGAGGAGGAGGAGGAGGAAGGAGGAGGGGAGGGGGAGGAGGAGGGCCAGGAGGAGGAGGAGGAGAGGGAGGAGGAGGAGCCTGGCGTGTGTAGCCGAGGGAGGTCTGACGCTGATGCTTTTGTTTGTGGATGGCCCCCTTTCCGTGTGCGATATCGTGCGGGGGGGACCGTCAAGCACAGAGAGGCCTGCAGTGGCCTCCGCGAGAAACTTTTGGAGGCGACGAACATTAGTTTTAAATCGGGCGTGTCCCTCTACAGGAGGACTATTCGAACATAGTAAAAGAACATTGGCTGGAGACGATTGTCCGTCTCCATTCGGTTATTCTTGATTATAGTTTGACTACTTTTCATTTTTCTTTCAGAATCCGCCTGTAGGAGGACATGCCCGACCTAAAAACAGTTCAACGTGTCCAGTAGCTTATCTTCTCCATCCTGCCCGATCCATGGTCGACATGACATGTTGCACAGTCGATGCGCAGGTGCTTTGACAGTGCTTCCACACCGTTTTGCATGTGCACAGCATGCACCCCTGGGAAGCAATTCTCGCCCCCCCCCCCCCCCTTTTCGGTGAAACTCGGAAGCCGGGCAAGGGCTGCTAAATCCGTGGCCGCTAAAATCGACCTCCGGGAAGTTGTCTTCGTCCTTCCGGGAAGAAGCCCGTTGACTGTTTCGCGTGCCGCGCCTAATTCCGGGAAGTTGTTTTTTCCTTCCGGGAGGGCCGTTTTAGCAGCCACGGTTTTTGCAGCCCTTGCCCAGCTTTCGAGAAAATGTATCGCTTCTTGTCCCTGGAAGTGGTAGCCCGCCCCCGGACACCTCAGTGCGGGATCCCGCCCAAGCTCATGCAAGGATTCGGGGAAGACCCCAGTTGGACTCCATGAGGTGCGATCGAGGACCGAGGTGCGATCGATAGTTTGTCGATTGTACTCCTACGGTGTTTCAATGGTTTTCGAGCGTATTCAATGTTTGTTAATGGCGTTCCATAGTATCGAATAGTTACGCCTGCGGCGAATCACCGCCAGCCCCTGCCATTTTTGGAAGTGCCTATTTGGCCGAACATTGGGCTAGAGCTTGGTCAAGCTATCGGACCATGTGCTTCCCCAGCCTTCGTTGAACCCCTTCGGGGAAGATGTGAGGAAGAGGAGGATGAGGAGAATAAGGAAACGGGAGCAGGAAGAGGAGGAGGAGGAGGAGAAAGAGGAGGAGTAGACCTCTGGGAATCTCTTGGGGCACTCTTGGGGTCTCCTGGGAGCTTCGTGGGAACCTCTTGGGGGCCTCTTGAGGGGCTCCTTCGGCCTCTTGGGAGCCTTTCGGGGCTTGTTCGGGCCTCTTTGACCGTCTTAGGGCCTTCCTGGGCCGTCTGACGCCGTCTGGAGCCGTCTTGGGGTCCTCTCTGGAGCGTCTTGGGGCGCGTCAGGGCCGGCTTGGAGGCCGTCTTGGGCGTCATGGAGGGCCTCTTGGGCCGTCTTGGGCTTCCCTCTTGGCCGTCTTGGGGGCCTCTTGAGCCGTCCTGGGGCCATCTTGGCGGCCTCTTGTGCGCTCTTGCGCGCTCCGGGTGCGGTCTTGGAGGCATCTTGGGGGTCGGAACCTTCTTCACTCTTCGTCTGGTCCGGGTAGAATGATCGAAAAGTCATGGTCAGCAGGGTCCCAGTCAGCAGTGTCCTGGCTTCGGGGTCCCTGGTGATAGAGACCTCTCCTGCGGGTTTCGTCGCCCTTGGGTGGGCCGAACCGCCACGCCAGGCAGGCCGGGATGCTGGCTTCGGGGTCCCTGGTGATAGAGACCTCTCCTGCGGGTCTCGTCGCCCCTGGGTGGGCCGAGCCGCCGCGCCTGGCAGGCCGGGATGGACAGGGCGCAGTACCTGGCGCGGTGCATGGCGAGCACCAGCCGGAGTCCCGTGATGCCGTTCGGGCGGGCGACCGCGGTCGTGGCGAGCAAGGTGAAGAAGGGCAAGTCGACCCGGCCGCGCGACACGGTGCGCCCCGGAAGTGTGGACACCGCACGTCAGGAGGAGAAAAAACACGCAGACACAATTAGTTGTCGATTCCCCTGGAAAATACGGGAAATCATGGGCAGTGGGGTGAGGACATAGACCAAGAAAATATAGGGAAATATGGGGAAGCCTGTTATTTGTGTGTACTTATCTGCGTGTCGCAGGGCCCCTTCAGCAGGCCCGGGGAGAGCGAGCGAGGGAGAACGCGGACCCACGGCCGCAGGGGCCTCAGAGAGGCCGCCGGGAGGGATCACAACGGCCTCACGAGGCACAGAGCGCACCTTTCCCCAAACCGTGCTTGCATTTCCTCCTCCTCCTCCTCCTCCTCCTCCTCCTCCTCCTCCTCCTCCTCCTCCTCATTCCTCCTCTTACCTGCGCTTCCAAGGGATCGGAAGGGTGCCCCGAGGATCCGCCGCGTTCCGGCTCGTTGCCGCCCCGTGTTGCCGCCCCGAGGGGCGTCCAGAGGATTCGCGCCGTTCCGGCCCGTGGCCGGCCGTTGTCGAGTGTGCGGGTGTCCCGAGGATTCGCCACGTTCTGGCCAGTTGCCGCCTGTTGCCTGCCGTTGCCGCTCGGGGGGGGTCCAGTCAAGCAGCGGCGAGGCGTCCTGGCTCGCCGATAGCCCTACCCAACAATGTTCTAAGAACCTTCTGTGGCTTCCACGAAATGCTCTTAGAACATTTCTGGTGGAGTCTGTCTTGTTTTATCTCATCGGGTTCATATTCTAAGAACATTGCTTTTGTTCTTAGAGCATTTTTGGGGTTCTAAGGACATTTCGTGGTATGAATATAGGAATGCCGGGACGGTCGGTCCCTGCTCAGTCCAGAGGGTTCGCCGCGTTGCAGCCCATTGCCGGCCGTTGTCGCTCGAGGGGGTGCCCCAAGGGGTCGCCACGTTCTGGCCCGTTGCCGCCGGTTGCCGCTTGTGGGGGTGCCCCGGGGATTCACACTTGCATGTCGAAAGCGGCCGCAAAGACGCCAGTGTATCACATAGCTTAATTTCACAGTTACCTCGCCATAACTTATTGTTCGGTGTCCACGCTTGTAACCACATTTTCTTTAGTTAGGCGAGGGGGGTCTTAGGACGTGGGTCAGGGGAGGGGGTAAATCCTTCGAGGGAGGGGAAGAACGGCTCCACCCAGAGGGCTGGTGGGACTTCTGTTAACACTCCATCCGAGATGGGTGGAGCACGTCTACTTTGTGCTGGATCCTTGCTGGCCCTCCCGAGGTTCAGCATCGTTTTACTCACAGACAACCCGCAGAGTAAGGATGCGCGATAAGGATGCAAGGGCCTTGGAAGCGCATTTCGAAGCTTTTCGAGCGGGGCGCGGCCAACGAAAGTGTCCAAGGATGGACCCAGGAAGCAGGGATGCCAGGGTACCCTTGGGAGGGATGCCTATCCTTACTCTGCGGGTCGACTGTACTCCCATCCCCACTGGGCCATGGCATCGCAGCCCCACCAGCTCAGCCTCTCGGCCTCCAGGGTCGAGATCTGCTTCTCGCAGCCCGAAAGGACGGGCAGAGCTCCCCACCTGCAGTCAGGTGAATCTGCTGCCAGTGGGTCAAGCAGTGGCGAATCGTCCTGGCTCGCCTATAGCCCTACCAAACTCGGGCTGGACGAAAGGGGGGGATTGGGAAAGGGGGGGGTACGAAATTTTTGCTGCATGCAGCTTGTTTCGGCCCCACCGAGGGGCCCGTTCCTCGATACATAGCCGCCTCCGGCGCCGGGAGGCGCCAGGAAAATCAGCTCCGTGAGTTGATTCTCAACCCCCCCTTTGCTATCCCCCCTTTCGCCCGACCCGTGAACACTGGGCGCGCTGGAACGTCGCCCCACTTCGTCGGGGGTGGGCAGAACTCCTACCCTGACGCGTCGATCAGTGAATCGGCCGTTTTCGGTTCGCGAGGGCGTCGCGGCCGTCATTTTTGCGGGTCCAGGTCCGTCGGTTTCGGTCCCAGGCCGTTTTCACTAGGGGGTGGTTCACTGAAGGGGGGTTTGTCCACCGTCGACTTAGGGCTGTAGCGCTCAAATCGGTCGTGGAGGGATTGGGGCGGAGCCCAGGGGGAGGGCTCCTAGTACTGCAGTCACGCCTCGCTCTCCAAGGGAGGTGATGCGCGAGCGCGTGTGCGCACGTGCATGCGCGTGCGCGTGCGCGTGCGCGTGAGCGCGCGCGCGTGCCCGAACGAGCCCGATGCTGAGCGCGTTCGCGTTCGCGTGCGCATTCGCGTCTGCGCGCGCGTGTGCGTGTGCGTGTGCGTGTGCGTGTGGGGTTGCGTGTGCGTGTGCGCGTGCGTGTGCGTGTGCGTGTGCGTGCGCGTGTGCGTGTGCGTGCGCGCGTGCGTGTGCGTTCGCATGCGCGCGCGGAGGCTCGGGCGCGAGCCTGAGCCCGAGCGCGAGCCCGAGCCCGAGCCCAAGCCCAAGCGCGAGCTTGAGGCCGAGCCCGAGCCCGAGCCCGAACCTGGGCCCGAGTCCGAGCCCGAGCCCGAGCCCGATCCTGAGCGCATGCGCGTGCGCGTGCGCGTGCACGCGCGTGTGTGCGCGTGCGCGTGGTGCGTGCACGCTTCCGTCACCGCGATCGAGCGATCACGACTGACGCTGTGCGCTCTACTGCGGACGGGTGAGGCGGCCAGCGGGGCCGAGGCGGCGCCGGTGGGAGCAGATATGGGGGTCTTTTGGGCGATGCCCAGAGGTGGCACCGCTCGCAGAGGCCCTCGGCCTCGAGGTGCAGATGCCCTGCAAGAAGTCGGACGCGGCCTGCCTCGCGGAGCACGCCGGGCGCCTCCTGGCGAACGGGGGCCCCCGCGGGCGGCGAAGAGCGGGGGGCGGCGCTCGGGGGCGGCGGGGGCGGGCTCGAGGGGGAGCTGCGAGGTGCGAGGCCGCTGGGGGCGTCTCCGTCGGAGCTCGGCGGGGTTCCCGCTCTGGGGTGCTCTGCAGCAGCTGCGCCTCGCGACGAGGCCCCCTGGCTCGGGGGGAGATGCATCGATCGGGGCCCGACGGCCTCCCCACCCCCAGGAATGTGCGGCTCTGCCATCGGGGCCTCTCGCCGATGCATCGCCGATGCCAGGCCGATGTTTCCCCCTCAGCCCACATCTCCTGGCGGTCTGGAGTCCGAGGCGCGATCGCCCGCGGGTGCTCGGATGGGCGCGATGTGCGCACCACATCTCCTGATCTGAGTGGAGGGGTCCAGTGTGTAGACGCTCCAGCACCCCGACGGCTTCGGAAGCAGGGCTTCTATACACAAGACTCCCTGCCCGACCAGGCGGCGTGGTGACCACCGCGACGCGGCGCCTGCCTGCATCAGTGGGGTCGCGGCCGAGGGGTCCAGCCCGCGGGGTCGTGGGAGCGAGCGTGTCCCCCCGCCCACGAGGCACGCTGGTGGTCAGCTGGCAACACGAGGAGAGCATCTTCCTCGCCCCTCTCCTCCGTCATCTCTGGTTCATGTCCGGCGCGGCCATGAGGGGGGGGGAGGAGGAAGGCAGGAGGAGGACGGAGAGAGGGGGGCGGGAAGACCGCCGAACATGACGACGACGGACGACGACGACGACGACGACGACGACGACGACGACGACGACGACGACGACGACGACGACGACGACGACGACGACGACGACGGATGGCGACAACGGCGGACGGCGGACGGCCACCACAACGACGATGCCGCCAACGCCGACGGCGGACGACGGTGGCCGAAGACGGGCGGCGGACGACCGACGACGACGACGACGACGGTGACGATGGCGATCCCTCGGCCTCGACATCGGCCCCTCGACATGCCCTGGAGCGCGTCCCGACCATATGTTCGATGCGGGTCCAGCCGGGGCGACGAGTGCCCCCCGAGGCCCAGAAGAGGAAGAGGAGGAGGAGGAGGAGGAGGAGGAGGAGGAGGAGGAGGAGGAGGAGGAGGAGGATGGCGAGGGGGAAGAGGCGGATGAGGACGGGGGAGTGGACGAGGAGTTACCAGACCGACTCGCAGCATCGAGCATCGAGCAGGACGAGTAGGACGAGGAGGAGGAGGAGGAGGAGGAGGAGGAGGAGGAGGAGGAGGAGGAGGAACAGGAGGAGGAACAGGAGGAGGATGAGGAGCATGAGGAGGATGAGAGGGAGGGTGCTGAGGGTGCTGATAATACCGTCCGTGTCTCTGGACGCTGGCGCGCTGGCCAAAGCGCCGCGGACCAACGGCGCGGCGCGGCTGCCGAGCCAATGCCCGACGTCGAGCGGGGTCCAGCGAGGCGACGAGGCAGCCAGACCCCGTGCCAGAAACGCCCACGCCGCCAGCGAGGCGCGGGGCCAGAACTCGAGGCAGAGGCCGCGAGGCGACGAGGACGCGCCAGCCGCACCCACCTGCCCCTGCCGCTCTCGCCCTGGTGAATCCCTCGACGGAGACGCCCGGGCGCTCTCGGTGGCCTGCAGCAGCGCCGCCGCCCTGACCTCCGAGGGCCTGTCGCTGCCGAGGAGGTCCAGCAGCTGCATGCCCACCTCGTGGAACAGTCGGGCCGGACGAAAGGGGGGGATTGGGAAAGGGGGGGTTACGAAATCTGCTGCATGCAGCTGGTTTCGGCCCCGCCGCCGGGCCCATTCCTCAAGTAGCTGATTCTCAACCCCCCCCTTTGCTATCCCCCCCTTTCGCCCGACCCGAAACAGCTACTGGATGAGGGTCCGAGGGCACCTCGGCCGCCGCCTGGGGCTTCTCCGTGGCCCTCGCCTGGCGGTGAGGTCCATCTCCAGCCCCCGAAGGCCCTTCTCGTCCTTCTTATCCGTCTTGTCCGTCTTGTCCTTCTTGAGAACGCCCTGCTTGCTGCTGTTCTCCGCCGCCCAAGCCTTGAAGACCAGGTCTTGGAAGCGGAGCCGTTGCTCCAGCATGCGAAGGTAAGCTTCGCCATCGAACTGGGCGTTCGACACAGCATCGCCCCCACCGCAGTCCCCCATGAAGTACGGTACTGCTCGCTGCAGACGTGGCCCGTCGCGGGAGAGGACGTGTTCAGCTGTTCGTTCGACAGAGAGCGCTGGGCGAACGACTCCGCCCCGTCGATGCAGCGCGTGCAGTGCCCAGCACGTTCAACTTGCCCTGGTAGTGCGGCGTGTCGGCGAGCATCCGATCCTGGCCGGACTGCTGATCCTTCGCCGTCTCCTTCACCTTCTCCTCCATCTCCCTCCGCGCCTCCAGCAGCATCCTCTTTTCTTCCTCTGCGAGCGACGGCCCCTCCTCGCGGAGCATCCGTTTGCGCTCCCAGAGCCTGGTCGTGAGCTCTTGCAGGGCTCGCTGCTCCACCTCTATTGGAGAGGCCTGACGGCCGGTGCCGCCGACCCTGATCAAAAGGGCTAGGAGTGGGAGGAGGAAGCGGAGGATGAGGAGGAGGAGGAGGAGGAGGAGGAGGAGCAAGAGGAGGAGGAGGAGGAGGAGGAGGAGGAGGAGGAGGAGGAGGAGGAGGAGGAGGAGGAGGGCCCTCTCCTCCTGCTGCTGGTCGTGCAGGGCCAAGGCCCCCGCAGGGGCCAGCGCGCTGCACCTCTGGCACTCCGCCCCGAAGCCAGAGCTGGCGTGGCGGCAGCTTGGACGCAGGCACCGCCACGTGCGGACGTGGGCCTGGCCCTGCTTCTTCTTCTGCTTCTCTACCTCGGGGGCGGGCAGAACCCCCAACAGTGACACGTCGATTCGTGAATTGTCCGTTTGCGGCTCTCGAGAGGGCGCCGTGGCCGTTATTTTTTCCAGGCTTGCGCCCGCCAGGTTTGGGCCGGCCGCAGGTCGTTTTCACTAAACCACGTTTTACTAAAGGGGGGTCTGTCCATCCCCGACTACCTCGCTCGCGAAGCTCCCGAGCTCCTTCTGCGCGAGGTGCAGCTCCTTTTCCTCCTCCTCGTGGGCCTGCTCCCCCTCGCCATCCTGCAGGCCCGCCGCACGACGGGCGGCTGCCCGACCCCGCCGAGCTGCCAAGGCCGGCGGCGGCCTTGCTGATCTCGGCGGCGTCCGGAGCCGCGACGCCCGGCTCGCCAGGACGGCAGCCTTGTACCTGTCCTTCTGCTCGCGCACTGCCGAGGGCGGCGGGGACCGCTCCTGCATGCCCGACTCCGTCTTCCGAAGCAGCCCATAGCCCAAGTCCACCCTCGACAGGCCCATGAGCTTGTTGCGATGGAGCGGCCCGTAGCTCAGGTCCATGACCGCGTGGGGAGGGCTGAGTGTCACGCGGGACCCAGACCCCAGACTCGTCCAGGTCGCCGCTGCCGACGGCCCAACCGACCAGGAGTCCGCCATTGGCATTGGACAGCTCCACCGTCGACTCCGCCCCTGGCCTCGCACGCTGGATCTTCAGGTCCAGGTCCACCAGGAGTGCGTTGACCTCCTCGCCGAAGAGGTTCTGGGGCAGGTGGAATCTCGTGCCATGGCGGCTCGGGCGCGCTGCACCCCCTTCACGCGCGCGCGCCCTAATTTCCTCGAAACTCTCGAGGGAAAGGGGCTATGAGGAGGAGGAGGAGGAAGAGGAGGAGGAGGAGGAGGAGGAGGAGGAGGAGAAGAAGAAGACGAAGGATGAGGAGGAGCAGGAGGAGGAGGAGGAGGAGGAGGAGGAGGAGGAGGAGCAGGAGGAGGAGGAGGAGCAGGAGGAGGAGGAGGAGGAGGAGCAGGAGGAGGAATCTGATCATCCTGGAGATATGTGATAGTTTCAGTATGGTTTTCCGGGAATTGTGGTGGACTCGAATGGAGAGTTTGGTCGGTTCCCGACGTATCCGTTTCAGCTACGCCAGCAGTAAGAGTGCAGAATGACCAATCCCACTTAGTGAGATA